ACTAAATACGAAACGAAAACACCTACACTTGAACTAAAAAGAATATAGTTTTTTAATAATTTCATTATAAGCTACTTAAATGACTACATAAATACTTTTATCCTAATTTTCCGGTACTGCATGCACCGCCAACGTCCGCCGCTTTGTTGCCAAATCAATTAATATGGATTCGAATCTTGACAGTTTTTGTCAGATTTCGTAATTCAAGGTTTTCAAAAAATATACGCTTTAGACAAAAAAGTGTATTGGAAAGAATTAGTTGATTTTTGTATAACAATTCCCGGTAAAGACTCCTTTTTGCAATAATTTTCATAATTTGTATAGAAATAATTAAATAATAAGTTTTTCTGAATTCGGGCTCTACAGCGGGGTTCTCTATCATTTGCTTAGTAGGCATACCAAATTTTATAAAAAAATATTTAAAACTGAGAAAGAGAACCTTGAAGTCGTTTTAAGCCAGTTCCTAACCATGGATATCGCTCTTAACAAAATATGCCAATGTTTACATAATAATAAACGTTCTTTATTGAGTTACAATACCCAATAGGCCATCTTCCGAAGTACTTCAGCTGATTTGACTGTATTTTCTAGTACAGTATGTTAAAGTTGTTAATACCAGTGAATGAACACAACTCTTTGTCAGATTTTAAAAGATCTGAAATTGTTTTAATTTTTGGGGTATGCGCACTTGTACACTAATGGCAATATACTTGAAAAAGAGTATTTGCAACCTCTGTCTTGTTTGGCGTGAGTAGCTAGGTTATCTTGAAACAAATCTTTATTCTGTGGTTTGGATCTTCTTTTTGTTCTCTCAATATTTGATTTTGAAGTTTATTGAACAGAATCGTCAAACATTTACTTGAAAACTGGCAGGAAGACACAGCGATTTTTTTTTATATTTATTTTCACTTTGGATGAGGCATCTACAACACAAAAAAAGGTAAAATAAAAACATTCAATCGAAAAATAAATCTATATTACCTCTAGGCAAATCATCTTCTTTAAAATGCTTCTCAATTTTTAATTTTTGTAACCATGCATTTCTTGCAGAATTTCCACTTGCAATTTATAAAAATTACCCTACATTTACCAACTTTAGGAAGCAAATGAAATGTAAAAGGTCCATTTTTTTTAGGGCTGCATCCAGGCACCCAACAAGTGTGTTTTTCACTGATATTCCACTTATAGTTCAAATTAAATAATATTTTAATATATATGATATAAATTTAAAGCATTAGCTTATTATTAAATAAGATATTTCAAACAAAATACTTGTTAAATTTTAAAATATTGAAATGACCTGATAAACAATAAACAAAACTTGACAGAACACAGACGGTCAAGTGTCAAATGGCATAACTTTTAGTTCACAGTAGAGGGCGTATCGCTTATCTTCAGATCCCAATAGTGCGAGACACACTGATAATGCAGTGTGAAGTCTTATGAAGCGCGCCGTTACCAGCCGTTACTATGCTGGGATCGGTAAACAAAAACAGGTCCGGTCTCAGGCAAAATTCGACAAAGGTTTAAATTTTATCTTAAAATTTGTATGTTTAAAAATAAATAATAAACAATGAATTTCAAAATTACAAATTTATATGTTAACAAATAATAAACAAATTTTCCCGCGTTTATTTTTTAGTTTTTTTCTCTGACATGTGTAACGCAGTTACACCAATTTTGTTTAATGCTTCATCTATCAATGAACGAACATCCTGTGTCTTGAAATCAAAGTTGTTCATAGCAATATAGCACTTTACCTGATTCCATACCATCTCGATCAAGTTAAGCTCGCAATGATAGGGTGGTAAGCGAAAAACAGTTACCCCGTATTTTGCAACTATTTTCTCAATCTTATATTTGTCGTATTGCTCTCTGTATGCGTTGGCAACTTCAAGCAGCTCACATTTTAAATAGGAGTCGTCAAAGAAAATGTTTTTCTTTTCAAACAACCAATTTTTTTATTTCGGGTTTGCTGCATGAGGTAGCTGGAAAACTACATTTACGGGAATGATACGAAGCGTTATCCATAACAACAACAACAACAACAACAACAACAACAACAACAACAACAACAACAACATTTTTGGGTAAATGGAATCAGCGACTCCTCAAACCATTGCTCAAAATACTCGTCATGATAATGGCCATTGTTTTTCGTTGCCACGAAAACACGCACAGCGGCAGGTCAAAATGCACCTTCATATCCTGCATGAACAATAACAACACGTGGACCTATTTGTGTAGGTGCTTTGAGGCCTGTGGTTAAACCCTTTATAAAAGCATCTCTATGATTTTTTATGGTGTTATCGCACCATGCATAAATCGTCTGATCCACTTTGACCCAAGTCTCATCTAAATAGATAACGTTACAATTTTGTTGGCGACATTGTTTGATGGCTCTTAAATACCTGTGCCGCCAATGAATGATGTCGCTTCGTTCTAACATTATACTTTTAAAATCTTCGCTTCACATATTCAAAACCAATTTCTTTCATCAATCTATATAGGGTTCTTAAAGAGTGAGTAGTGAGTTAACGAATTGTTTGTAATAGTTTATAGGACTTGTCTGCAGCAGACATTCTGTCGCTGAAGATCGGCGACTGAACGGCTGCCTAATGTGGTGCTAGTCTTACAAATTTAAAAAAAGAAGATATTTCATTTGAAATTTTTGTTATTTGTGGGTCGGCTCCTCTTTGTAAAATACATTTTAGCATTGTTTGGTTAGATACTTAATTGTTACAAGAAGTAGGTAAAAAATGTCTTTTTAATTTATTCTATCATAATAGGTTCCAGTTCAAAATCAGGCGCTTCGCTTCACATTGTCGTCGATGTCTGTGTCGGTTATAGGTTCATAAAATTGCATGTAATCGTTGGGAATTAAGTGCAACACATATTTTTTGTCCTCTATCTTTGGATTTTATACTTTTTTCCTTCAAGCCACAGTGTTATTAGCAAGTCTTTAAATAATTCCGGACCACCCATTTGTTTTTCTGATATCTATTTCAGCATACGTGGCGTCATCAAAATTTGTTTTTCAGAAAAATTGAAAATCATTAATCAAGAAGTATCTTACGTGTTTTTAAACAGCTAACTTATTTATTCTCAACATCCATTTTTCTATTTATTATTTTACGTGATCAAATCTTGGGCATTCCTTCTCCTATCCAATAGCTTTTGTCACCAGAAGAATTCTTTGAGATATGCTAATATTATCATTCATATTGTATCAAAAAAATATTCGTTTTGCTATTTTTAATACTTCACACTCACTCTCACAGAGAACCAAATAACAAACTATCACTCAACTATTATGCATTGCAACGAAGTTTCTTGGATTGCTTCTGCAGGCAGGTTACTTGCTTAACCTATTTAGTCGGTTGGTTTATTGGCTAATAAATAACGGTACCAGAATGTGGCCTGGATCTTTTTTGAAGTAAAGGTTAACGTACTTAAAGCAATATTATGCGAAAGTCTAAAAATCCCAAATTTGTGGGTTGCTTCCTTTGTGCAGAACGCCGTCCAATTAGACTTCAAGAAGGACAAACGGTCCTCATATATGCAAACAAGAATACATGCTCTAATGACATTGACTACTACTGGGGCGACCCTGTCACAGCTATTGGAAAGACGGCAATACAGTGTACCGGTCTCCCATTGAAATACATTGCCCATGCCTGGCCATACTGCATTATCAGTGTGTCACGAACTATACCAGTCTAATTATTCACTTATAGCGCTTACTGAGACCTGGATAAATCCTTTAATAACTAATAACGAAATATTTCCAGATTCCTTTAATGTTCATCGTTCTAATGGCAATTATTCAGCACTAGTGGTGGTGGCGTCCTTATACAAATCATTTTATTTCTATAGCTGTGGATCTGAATTCCAACATCTTTCGAAATTTAACCGCAGTAAAAATAAACTCGCCTTAGAATTATCTCTTTGTAATTAACGTGTATGTATCTCCAAAGTTCTCTCTCGAACAATTTGAAAGTAATTTTATTGATCTACAATCGCTGAACTGTCTTCACATCTTTAATGTTTTAAAAGTAAGAGGTTTTAATATTTCACAATCCGCAGGTTTGAGAATGCACAATGGACCGTATGAGACATAAGTGCTGTTGAGCAACTCACCTTCCCCACCTTACAGACAGATGTTACAGGTTGAATAATTTACCTCTCAAAGTGTTATGTAATATCTTATACTTTAAGGTTTGAAATAAATTTTAATTACATCCTTGGCAGCACTAATCTCCATAAAACATATTCATTTAAAGATCTAGGAGTAATATTATTTGATTCTAAACTATCATTTGTAACTCACATCGAAAATATATTTCTTGTTAACAAATATTACAGATATATTATTAGGTACACTCGAGATTTTACAGATATTGTTACTCTTAAATATCTTATTTTGCCTTTGTTCGTTGTAAGTTAGAGTTTACATCGGTAATTTAGAGTCTCAACTATAAAATTTATATTGACAGGGTGGAATCAATTCAACGTCAATTTTTGAAGCTCTTGTCTTTAAAAATTGATGGTGAATATCCTGAAATTGGTAACTCCTCACATGCTTGATTTTAATTTTATTTTGTAATAAATAAACTGTTTTTGGATTTTGTATTATTTTTATTAATTACCATTTAATTTAGATAAGACCGATTCGACAAAACACCACTAATAAAAATAATATATTTTTGTTCTCAATATTCTCCCTCTCTTTGTAACTCCACCGGCCAAAGCCAGACTTACAAGAATGAATTTTAGAAAAAAAAAAATCCCTAGGCAACCAAAGAGCGGTCACATTTAGGTTGCGACGTCTGTACTTTGAGTATCTGTTACCTCCAGAACACATAAACGTTCTAAGTGGTATACACACGTGAAAAATCTTGAGCTACATAATAACGTTTGTCTGGCGATAACACCTATATTCACTTTGTACTATTTTAACTTGCCATATATCTAATGAGTAATATTTTTAAAAAAATTACCTGAAAAGCTTTTGCGAAGCACGACGATACGCGTGACACTGCTTCGGCTATATCACATCGAAACACATGGCACTGAAATATAGCCGACTCTTGAGTGTCCCCATGGGACCAAGTGAATGCAAAACAACTGGCTTCTGGACTATCTGCTGGACCTCGGGCGTAGAATAGGATGCGATGAATTTCGTAACGTGATATAACCGAATTACTCAGAGCATCATAAAGTCTGCAATAAAAACAAAATATTAAACACTAAAATTCCAATTATATTCTACAATTAATATCATATTAATAAGCACATCAGATACAGGTGAAATAACACTCGTAAATTTGATAGTTGATAATAATATATCACTTGCTAAGCAATGAAAAACAAAAAAATATAGAAAATATGAAGATAACCAGACGTTAATGTAATTAGCTATTAATGCTCTAGTGAAATATACTAATTCTTAATGACATTATTAAACTTTTTTTAAGATTATTGTCGAGAGACTATTAACTGTCAAAGTTATTATTATCTTCTACAGTTATTATATCCTACATTAAATTTAAAAAAATTAATTTACTGAACATTTTTTTAAATTATTAAATGTAGGGCTGTAAATTTGAACCGAAACCGTTTTTATTCAAAAAACATCCGAATTGGTTCAAACGGTATAAACCGCTAAAAACAGACATACAATTTATTGGAGACATCGAAAAATAGAGAAAAAGTAAATAATCTAAAATTGAGAAATAACGCTAGACAGGTACTACTAAGAAGAGACAACTTTAGAAAATGGTTTATTTGAACCAGTTTTAAAGAAAATAAAATAAATATGTTATGGTAAAAATGTGTAGATGATATTAGTGTACATTTTCCAAGGAATATTCACTTTAAACATTCTTTTGAGAAAAATGACTAAAATCTTGCAAAGAGAATTTACATAATAATAGTAACTCCTCAATTTTAACAACAAATATGTTTTTCTTTTTACGTTTTCTTTTAATATACCACATACAGTATATAATGAAAATTTTAATTATATATCTAAATTATCGGAAGTTGGATTTACCTCATATATAAACACTATTACTCGAAATGACATGAAGAGTTGTTTAGCTCACATATTTGTTAAACAAGTCCAACGGCCAAATTTATTTGATTTCCAAACTTTTGATCTAGACCATCACATACCCATACAGCACACATTATTTCAGATGTGTTTCAGAAATATTTCAAACATATAACATTTTAAGCACACGTTTCTGAAATATTTTAGATAAATATTTCACTGAAAATGTTTCTGAAACATCGTATACATGTTACACAAAAGGTTTCTAAACGTGTTATGTTGTAAAAGGCCAACACTTAATGAAGAATTTCTGATTTGTAAGAAGAAGATGGGATTATTTTATTTCTTGAAGATTCTAAATAATCCCAGCTAGCACATAACGTTGCCAAGCCCTTCAGCGATGTTGCATTAAGGGAACGTAATAACATTACTATACAACGTAAATGCAACGTTCATGAGAAGTTGTTGAGGGAAATCAAAACCTCGCAAAACTTCTATTTGTTATTTACCTAGTTAACCTACCTGTTATGTTAACACAACGTAATAAAGTAATTTGCTAAAAAAGTATCACAATCTGATTCGGAACGTTTATGTCAATTGTCACTTGTCAATTTTTCTTGTCATATGTCATGATCCTGTGTTTTTGTAACTTGCAGAATTTATTTTATAATTATTATTTAAACATTTGAGTAGAATTGGTAAGGATCCTCTATAAAATAGAAAACTATTTTCTGAACCATTTTCTTTGTTTTAGATTACAATGCCTGTTGTAAATTTTATCAAAATGTTCGTGAATATTTGGATCATATTTTTGTAGAAGTTTTCGACAGAAGGACATGGAGCTGGTTTATAAAATTATAAAAATGTCCGGAAATATCTGATAACTTTTTTAGAAGCTAGATAGAAGGACTTGGTTTATGAAATTATAAAATGAGGACCTCTTTTTTTTTGGAAGCTCGACAGAAGGACTTTGTTTATAAAATTATAAGCTAAGCACTTTTTTTTTAGAAATTTCACAAAGGTCCGGTTTTTGTGAAATGAAAAGGTGGGAACCCTAATACAAAATGGTTTAACTACAATAAAAACAAATAATGGTAGATAAACATCGGTAAACGAGAAGATTAACATTTAACTAAATGTCCAGTTACATTATGTGTATTTAAAGAAATTTGTGGAAATTAAGCGATTTGCTTTTATATTTTATGAAATAATGTTTAAAAATTAATTGTTTAAGAATCAATGTTTGAGTTTTGTGTATTTTAAATAAACATATATATTTATAAATGCCTTTTTTTAGTCTAATAATATTTTAGAAAAAAAGCTAGAATAGATTTCTGAAATATTACTATTTAATATTTCTAAAAGATTTCAAATTTTTATTTCAGAAATATTACTCTGAAATATTATATTTAAAGGACATTTTTAAATTTCAGGCACATTTCAGAAATGTTTCTGGGATGTTTCGTAATATTAATACATTACAAATGTTTCAATGTAATATTTTTGAAATATTTCTGAAATGTGTTTGTGTTGTATGGGTAACAGACCACATTCCAGTTATGATTAACATCTCGTCAAAAAAATAATAACTGAGAGAACCCACAGATCAAACTGAACATAGAAATAAACAAAATTTTATAACAAAAACGGATATAGATAAAACACACACTGAATAACAAATGATGATAACCCGGAAACGGCTACTAATAAATTTATCTCGTTCTTTAAAAAAGCCTTAGAAGAGGCAAAATCTATAACAACTTTAAAACAAAATAAAAAACGTAAAAATTAAAAAATACGTGTGGCACTCGGGGACTGCCACGGTAAAGCTATTGAATAACATTTTTTATCAACTTATGCAATTTTAATTATTTATTTATTTATTTTATTTATGTAGTATTTTTTTTTTCTTTGATATTAATTCAAGTTTTTTCTTTGATATTAATTCAAGTTACACTTTTTGAGCATGGTTACCGATAAGACAACAAATTATCTTACAATACATGTAGGTTATTCACTTATTCAGGAATTTTTATCATTGAAACTATAGGTTTATGGTAACTGAAATAAGAAACATAAGTTTGAGACTTGATATCCTCTAAATATCTGGAAAATACCGCGTCAATGGTAGTCCCATATTTTGTTGTGGATTCTTGTGGATCATTATTCATTTTCAAATTCAATTTTTCCGAAATTGTGTCTAAAAGAGATAGAATCAGTTATGAGCAGTTAGCAGCTAGTCTACACGCATACGTCTGGTCGCACGCACACAAACACCGTGCCGAAGTCTGCCGAAATGAAACGACGTTAGACGATGCACGTCTTTCAACGCCGCACCGCTGTGCCAGTCGGAGTGGGGGGTGTTAGGTTTATTTTTGTTACGGAATTTCTTTTTTTCGATTTTTCGAATTTTCGATTTTTCGTTTTTTCGATTTTTCGATTTTTTGATTTTTCGTTTTTTCGATTTTTCGATTTTCTTTTATTGAAAAATAAGAAGTTAATATTGTTTAACGCCGCACCGCTGTGCCGGTAGGAGTGGGGGGTGTTAGGTTTTTTTTCGTTACGGTTTCGTTTTTTTTTTTATTCGGTCGCCGCGCTCAAAGCCCGCGATAAAAGCTATGCAATAGCTTAAAATTGGATAACTAATGGATTAATAACATCTATAAAACACAGATATATATTAAAACGAAACCTAATAACAATTATAGCATAGAACTAGATAAAGAATATAAATCATATCGAAATTATCTTCAAAAGCTAATTATTAAACAAAAAATGAATAGTACCAAAATGAAATCAACAAAACCAACATAAAGAAATTATATCATATTATAAAGGAATGTACAAATGAAAACAAAACTAAAAATGAACAAATTATAATTCACAGAGAAGACAGCATAATTTTATAGGATTGGTCTAGATACAGACGAACCATACGAGGTGAAATACGCCAATCCACATTCTCTTTTTCTATTCCAGATAAACAGAAATTACCTAATTACACAGATCTCTGCTACCTGGTGTAAAAATAACGCTCTTTCTATAAATATTTCTTAGTGCACAACCATGCATTTTACAAGACCCACAATCCTACTCTTAATTGTTACAGTATTGACAGCGTCAACCTGGGTAGATCTTCGACAGTTATTGATCTGGGCATTATTTTTGATACCACAATATCTTTTAACAACCATATAGATTCCATAGTATGCAAAGCCCTCAGAATGCTTGGCTTCATCAAGAGACATACTAGTTACGTGAATGACACAAAAGCAATCATGGCACTTTACAATGGCCTGGTAAGAAGTGTCCTGGAGTACTGTTCTGTTATTTGTAAACCTACTTACACCTGTCATATCAATAGAATTGAAAGGGTGCAACGTAAATTCGTAAAATACCTGCTCTTTAAACACCGATTTCATAGCCATAACTCATGTTATCAAATAAATGCTTTGCGGCATGCAGAGCCTGGAATGTAGAAGAAAACAGGCTTTACTGTCATTGGGAATGCCTCGTGATATTATGTGTCTTGATAATATTGAGAGCTTTAAATTTGTGCAACGATAAGGCAGCTCTCATAGAGACGTTTAAGAAAAAAAAGTGGGAAAGCATTCCATTTAAAAAGTACTAGATATTTATTAAAACAAAAAGCAGTAATTTTTTATAGATTTAAAACAGAATGGCGCGTAAATGTTTTTTTTTGAACTTTTTTTGAATTTTTCAAAATAAATACTTTTCGACAGTTTACAAAAAATTCAAGGATTCTCCACCCTAAGTTTTGTAATTATTGGTATTTCCTGAAAATGTCACAAAAATCGGACTAAAAATAAAGGCTCAGAATAAATTATAAATTTTCGAAGTGTCCGGTTTGCTCTTAAATCAGTGTAACATTCTGTATAAAAATCAGTTCGGATTCTTGGCAGGTTCTAGTACCAACGATGCATTATATGAATTTACAGCAAAAATAATGGAAAACCTTAACACTGGTAGGAAATGTGCAGGATTATTTATTGATCTGGCAAAAGCCTTTAACACGGTTCTACACAACAGGCTACTAAATTCCCTTGAGCATTATGGGGACAGGGGGGTGTGTTAAAGGTATCTCTCAATATCGATCTCTATAATTTTTGTATATACTCGTACATGATTTTTCTAAAATGGACCGTAA